GGGCAGAAGATGGGGGTGGGGGGGGGTGGGGGTGTGTGACACACGACACCCAGGTGTCCTGGCCACCCCACACCTCCCTCCAAGCCCTGATCCTTGGGGGTGGTAGACCCACATCCATCCTTCTTCCTCTTCTTGCCCCAGGAGATCCTTGGGAAGGAGAACCCCAGCCCAAGGACCCCATGGCAGGACCAACCCACCAACCACGGGGCTGGACCCATGTCCATCCTCCTCCTCCTCCACCTCCTCTTCTTCCTCCCCCCACCCCAGAAGGCCCCGTGTCCCTTCTGACCCTGGAAAGGAGACCCTTCTCATCCCAAGGACCCCACCAACCACAGGGCTGCACCCTTGTCCACCTTCCTCCTCCTTCTCCTCCTCCTCTTCCTTCTCCCCTCCAACCCTGGAAGACCCTCTGTCCCTTCCAGCCCTGAGAAGAAGACCCCTCCCACCCCAAGGACTTAATGTCAGGACCAACCCAACAACCACAGGGCTGGACCCATGTCCATCTTCCTCCTCCTCTTTCTCCTCCTCCTCCTCCTCCCCCCAGCCCTGGAAGAATCCCTGTTCCTCCTGACCCTGGGAAGAAGACCCCTCCCACCCCAAGGACCCCATCCCAGGACACCCACTAGCCGGAGGGCTGGACCCATGCGGGAGGTAGAGGCAGATGGTGGCCAAGGTGTTGGTGGTGGTGGCCCTGCTGGTTGAAGGGGACCTGGTGGTGACGGTGGCAGAGGCAAGACTCTTCATCGTGGTGGACACCATGGAGTTGGGAGGGGACCGGGGTGTCACCGCTGTGGTCTCGGTGGTGGGGCTGGTGCAATTGCCAGAGCAGGGTCTGGTGGCATCCAGGAGGACCATGTGGGTGGCATTGGGCTGAGCTGGGGTAGCAGTGGCGTTGGTGGGAGCGGTTGGGAGCGTGGCCGTGGTGTCACTTTCCATGGGGGTGGCCGTGGTGTCACTTTCCACAAAGGTGGCCATGGTCTCGCTTCCCATGGAGGTCAGTAGGGTGGCCGTGGTCTCTCTTTCCAGGGCGGTGACCACGGTGTTGCTCCCCGTGGTGGTGATGTTCCTCTCTATGGTCGTGGTGTTGCACCCCAGAAGGCCCCGTGTCCCTTCTGACCCTGGAGAGGAGACCCTTCTCATCCCAAGGACCCCACCAACCACAGGGCTGCACCCTTGTCCACCTTCCTCCTCCTTCTCCTCCTCCTCTTCCTTCTCCCCTCCAACCCTGGAAGACCCTCTGTCCCTTCCAGCCCTGGGAAGAAGACCCCTCCCACCCCAAGGACTTCATGGCAGGACCAACCCACCAACCATAGAGCTGGACCCACATCCATCTTGCTCCTCCTCCTTCTCCTCCTCCTCCTTCTCCTCCCCCCAGCCCTGGAAGAATCCCTGTTCCTCCTGACCCTGGGAAGAAGACCCCTCCCACCCCAAGGACCCCATCCCAGGATACCCACTAGCCGGAGGGCTGGACCCATGCGGGAGGTAGAGGCAGATGGTGGCCAAGGTGTTGGTGGTGGTGGCCCTGCTGGTTGAAGGGGACCTGGTGGTGACGGTGGCAGAGGCAAGACTCTTCATCGTGGTGGACACCATGGAGTTGGGAGGGGACCGGGGTGTCACCGCTGTGGTCTCGGTGGTGGGGCTGGTGCAATTGCCAGAGCAGGGTCTGGTGGCATCCAGGAGGACCATGTGGGTGGCATTGGGCTGAGCTGGGGTAGCAGTGGCGTTGGTGGGAGCGGTTGGGAGCGTGGCCGTGGTGTCACTTTCCATGGGGGTGGCCGTGGTGTCACTTTCCACAAAGGTGGCCATGGTCTCGCTTCCCATGGAGGTCAGTAGGGTGGCCGTGGTCTCGCTTTCCAGGGCGGTGACCACGGTGTTGCTCCCCGTGGTGGTGATGTTCCTCTCTATGGTCGTGGTGTTGCTTTCCACGGGGACCAGTACCGTGACCATGGTCTCCCTTTCCAGGCTGGTGGCCACAGTGTGGCTTTCCGTGGCCGTGGTGTTGCTTTCCATGGCGGTGATGTTCTCCAGGATGGTGGTTGGTGGCGTGGCCATGGTCTCACTTTCCAGGGTGATGGCCACGGTGTTGCTCCCCATGACTGTGGTGTTTCTTTCCACGGCCGTGGTGTTGCTCTCCAGGACGGTGGTTGGTGCCATGGTCGTGGTGTTGCTTCTCGTGGTCGTGGTGTTGCTTTCCACAGGGGTCAGTAGGATGGCCGTGGTCTCTCTTTCCAGGGTGGTGGCCACGGTATTGCTCCCCATGGCCGTGGTGTTGCTTTCCATGGCTGTGGTGTTGCTCTCCAGGACGGTGGTTGGTGCCGTGGTTGTGGTGTTGCTTCTCGTGGTTGTGGTGTTGCTTCTCGTGGTCGTGGTGTTGCTTTCCATGGGGGTCAGTAACACCACCATGGTCTCTCTTTCCAGGGTGGTGGCCATGGCGTGACTTCCCATGGCCGTGGTCTCACTCTCCAGGACAGTGGTTGGTACCGTGAACCTGGTGTTGCTTCTCATGGCCGTGGTCTCACTTTCCAGGGTGGTGGCCACCGTGTAGCTTTCCACGGCCACGGTGTTGCTTTCCATGGGGGTCAGGGGGATGGCCGTGGTCTCATTTTCCAGGCTGGTGGCCACGGTGTTCCTTCTTGTGGTCCTGGTGTTGCTCTCCAGGACGGTGGTGTTGCTTCTTATGGCTGTGGTCTCGCTTTCCAGGGTGGTGGCCACGGGGCTGCTTTCTGTGGTCATGGTGTTGCTCTCCAGGAGGGTGGTTAGTACCGTGGCCACGGTGTGACTTTCTGGGGTGGTGGCCACGGTGTGTCTTTCTGTGGCCGTGGTGTTGCTTCTCATGGTCGTGGTGTTGCTCTCCAGGACGGTGGTTGCTACCGTGGCCACGATGTGGTTTTCTGGGGTGGTGGCCACGGTGTGGCTTTCCGTGGCCGTGGTGTTGCTTCTCGTGGTCGTGGCGTTGTTCTCCAGGACGATGGTTGCCACCGTGGCCACGGTGTTCCTCTCCGGGGTGGTGACCACGGCACTTCTTACCCGGGTTCCCCGTGGCGTTGCCGTAGCCTTACTCTCCGCGCTGGTAGTCACCACGGTGGCCACCTCGCTGCTTCCCCAGGTGGTCAGGACGGTGGAATGGGTCCCCGTGGGGCGTAAGATCCAGGTGCTGTCAGACCTTGGCGTGGAGACGGCGGCGGTGGCCACCGTGGTGCACTCACAGCGGGGTCCCCAAGTTGCCGGGGGGCAGCGACAAACCCCACCCAGAGAAGGGGGATGGGCAACCATGGGGTGATACCCCATGGAGGACACCCCATGGACACCCCACAGAGGGTAGGTGGGGGATCCCCATGGAGGGCACCCCCATGGAGGACACCCCCTTGGAGGACACCCCATGAAAGACACCCCCTTGGAGGGCACCCCCATGAAAGGCACCTCACGGACAACCCCATGGAGGGCACCCTCATGGAGGACACCCCATGGACACCCCCATGGAGGACACCCCATGAAAGGCCCCCCCTTGGAGGGCACCCCCATGGAGGACACCCCATGGACACCCCCATGGAGGACACCCCTCATGGAGGGCACCCCATGGGCTGGGCCTGACCCCCACGTCCCGGGGGCAATTGGTTGC